TAAGAGTTTAGAGAGTTCAATCACTCATTTCGAAACCAAAAACAAACTCAATCGTACACGATTAAAAAGAAGAACAAGACCAATGGATTGAGATTCAGACAGAGGAGAAGGAAGAGAGAAAGAAAGACTAACTGTGAGATCGGAGAAAGTGAATCGGTGGTCAGAGGAAGAATTCGGGATCTAATCCGTGTGATGGAAGCTCTTTAAAGAGTGACTTTGTGGTGCTGTTGTATATTAATTGGAGCGCGTGGGACCCACATTTTTTTGATTTTTTCCCTACTTAGCTTTTTATGATTTGACAAAACCCATTGTACTAAGAAAATTCGTTTTCTCGTTTCAAGCCCTAAAGTTTGTTAGATTCACAATTAGATCCCAACTAGTTTACATAGATTACTCTCAAGATTCCTTTCAAAACCGAGTATCAACGATACAATTATGTTTGGAATACTCTGACCTGTAATTCTGTATTATAAAATGCAACGTAAAAAAGGTAAGATTTGGGATAAAAATGTAAAATCGTATAATAGTCAGTCAAAAAGGGGCAAAATGGAAGAGTTATCGACTATTACAAAATCTTATAAAGTTTCCAATAGAAATATTGAAAGTTTGTAATAGATCCCTGACTTGGGGATATGGGAGACAAAAAAAAAAAAAGGGAAATATATCCAAATCGTGCGCCCAACGTTCTGCATCTAAATGCTACGACGCCGTTTCCGAAGCTGAATCATTACCGTCCATCAAGTGAGATTATGATCTACTTTTTTTTTAGATACAAATTGCTACTACAATACAACGTTTTCATATAAACCACTTATATTATAAAATATAATCCACTTAATATAGCATGTGCAATGGTGTTTTTTAAGCATGTTCTTAAAATATAAAATTATTAAAATTTGAGTAAAAAGAAGAAAGAGAGTGTTTTTGTTTGAGTAAAGAGAGGAGATAGTGAGTGTGTTTAAATATAAAATTAATAAAAGTTGAGTAAAAGAAAGAAGAGTGTTTTTAAATAAGAACTTTTGGAAAGTGTTTT